AATGCAACACGGAGACGGGAAAAAGTTGAACGTGCAGGAACAAAACATTTTCATACGAGACTTTAACTTCAGAAAAATAATTTAAAAAAGAAAATAAAAGGATTATATTAATGATATCTTTCGTAATTTGTCTTGTTAATCTCAAATATCAATTTAACTTGCGCTCTAAATCACCCGTAGCATATTTCAACAATGCTTATCACGATACGAACAAAAAAGAAAGTTTACACTCTACTCGACGCCGATAAAATAGTTGTTGAAACGAATTTATTAAATTATAGCACGCGCGATGTCGTGACGGCTATACAAGATTTAAAAAAGCTTTGGACACTGATCAATCCTTGCATGCTCAAATTCAATCCTCTCGAAAGTAAAGCGACGAGATTAGAGAAAAATTCCCTCCACGTTTTCTACTTATCTTTTTAGAATAACTTCGGCACGCTTACGAAAATTCTCTTTGGCTTATATCATCAGAGAAACACCCTCTTGTATATATTTACGGTCGATAGGTACCGTAGAAAATAAGTTCACGTGACGCGGGTCAGAGTCACCGGACACCCCGTATTTTTAGATCCTTCATCACGATCCTAGTAGTACTTGAATCACGCCGGTACAGCACAAAGGGAACCTGAAGGGTGAGGTGGTGACGGGAGGGGGGAAGGGGGGGCCTGGAGCGATTGTGAGCTGGACGCGCGTTAGTCATTGATACATTTTAAAGCGAGCTGTGTATCGGATGACTCATACGTAATAATCGTCATCGACAGCTGATCCAGATGCGTTGTACGTTGTTCTGAGGCGCACGCTCCCCCTCGATTAGACCACCTCCTCGTCGCACCCTTAAACGGAAGGGGGATGAAAAAGCGGCACAATGGAAAAAATACAGCAACCCCCCGGCTTCAGAGAGCGATGACTAATTCATTAAGCCTCGAGAATTCGGCTTCATTTATTGACTCTAAATACTCCAAAACGTTTATTCGTTTATTAAAAATATGTAATTTAAATAGTTTTTATAGTGAGATTATATTATATAATTTACATAAATTTATTATTAGTCTATTATCTATCTAATTATATAATATTATTATTATTCTATTATCTATCTAATTATATATAATTATATATCTGTGATTAATTTATTCATATATTGTAAAGTTATAAATTCCATGCATTTCATAATTTTCAATTATTATTAAATATCCAATTTTAATTTATTATTAATAAAAATTATTTATGCATGACGATCTTTTATCTTGCGACCACATTTTCTTTTTCGCGATTTTACAAATAGAGTCGTACTTTAAAATTCTTCATCTTAAAAAATACAAAATATGTTATACTATGCAATTTAAAAAAAGTTGATCTTTTAGAATTGAAAAGTTATAGCTGTGAAATAATTGATATGTCGACCAGACTGAAATTACAAAACACTCATATTATAATGTCTCATTTTAGTCGACATTTCAATTATTGTCATTCAATTATTATTATAATAATTATTATAAATATGTATATAACAAAATTGTGTAATAATTTTGTTATAACGTACTCATAATTAAACATTAGTGCATTTTACTATTCCTGAATAATAAAACGAATAGCTTCCAGCGATCGAATTCTTGTAATAAACTACTAGAAAGTGCCCGCGTTGAACGAATACAAAATAACAATGTTTCGAGATAGGCGCGCGATCTTACAAACGGACGCAACGCCGTTCCGCTTCGTTCCTTTTAAGTCTTTATTCGAGCAACTTTTTTAGCCTCTTTCCCGAGCGAAAGTCGAGCCGACGTCGGCGCGCTCGAGGCGCGGAAGAGCGGACGCACCTGAGGAGAAGGGTTAAGGTCGCAGCCGATAGGAAAATCTCGTAATCTCCCCGGTGCAAACTGACTCACGTCTAAATATCCCGAAAGAGAGTGAGAGACGCAACGGCGACGACAACGCGCAGGGGGTACGTTATGCAATCGTGATTTTGACATATGGTCGTTCGTGCGCTTAGCCAGCGTAAACATGCCGTAGGGTCGATATACACGGTGACTCATGCCTTCAACGTCGCAGTCAGTTGTCGTCGTTGTCATCATCGTCGTCGTCGTCGTCTGAGAAAAATGCGATCGGGACCGACCGGGAGACCAGACGCGCGCATTAGCCTCGCCAAAACGAGCCACACGACGCTTTGGTCTCGTTGTGTATATAGGCGGCCGCGAATCGTTACTAATTATGTAATAACCAGACGCGCGCGATGTCAAGAGTGACGTCCGTGCACTCGTTTGCTGAACAAAAGGATAAAATGCCTGAGCTAGAGTGATAAAAAATAAAACAAAATTGTATATTTTATACGTATCATTATTGTTTCTTCCTCTTTCTCTTCCCCGCCCTCTCGAATTTTATTGTTGTCATACCTTTAATCGGTTCAATAAATTTTTAAATAATTTATTTTTATAATATGAAAGTATATATTTATAACGAACGGTTATATCAAGGTAAATTTGCCAATTTCAGAAGGATTAAAAAAAGATCTAAAATAAAAAATTAAATCTAAAATCTCTTACGCTTGTCGATCCTTCGCTTCGAGCGACGTGACATGTTATATATTTATTTCCTTCAACTTCGAAAATTTTATCGCTGGAGCATTTACGATACCGTTATCGCGAAGCTTGCATTACGTACGTCGCACGCAGAAAATCACGTGGCCATATTTAGTGTGCGAGTGCGCGAAATGCGGGCTTAATATTTAATTCGGCACGATTAGCGTGCAAACTCTGGACAAATCTCCCGTAATGTTCCGCTATAATTCATCTTCCCTACGCGGCTTCGCGAAAACACGACGAAAGCGCAGATCGCGGCGCGCAAAATCTGTCCGACTATTCGCGGCGTCATCTCCGACGTGAGTCACTCCTATGAATAGATCCCCACCTTTCGCCTTCGTATACGCGCCGACGATGCGAGCACGATGTCGTCGTCGTCGTCGTCGTCGTCGTCGCTGCCGTCGCCGTCGCCGCCACGCGATCCGTTCGAACGGATCTCTCCCGTTCGCGTTTCCCTCTTCCTTCGAGCCCTCCGCGAATCCCTCTCCCTCAACCCCCATTATCTCGCGGCAAATTCCATTCACGTGGAAAATAAACGGAAATATACGATTCCTCAGCGATCTCCCTAATTTTCAAATTCACGCAGCGTAGCAACTTAGATCTACCATTCTATCGCAGATGAAGGTTGTATTTATCGTTACCCGCTCGATTCTAAATGTTGTTACGTGACAACGCGATTTTAAATGTCAATTGAGATTTTCCGTGGAGAGAAACAACGTTTCCTTCGCTCTTTTTAACGAATACATTCCACTTAAATCCAATATAATTTTGTATCTAAGTGGCCACTCGGATTTTGTTATTGTTATGCTAAAAGCTGTGTCTACGTCATTCTTAAATTCTCGCAAACAGTTTTTACGTCAGAAGGACGCTCGTGGTATCTAAAATAAAATTATGTCAGTAACTGACTTACGCTGACGAGAAAGAAGTGAAGCGGAAATATACAGCGGATAAAAAGAGAAACGGAGAGAAAGAGAAATGTAAAACAATATTAAATTACAATTATTTTTCTTCAGTATATATCAGGGGTTAAGAAAAAGTCTTCGCGCCGAAAGAAATGAGATGGAGACGATAAAGAAGCGAATTTAAGTCTTCCAATACTGGATTCTGCTTTTTTAAACGAATTATTTTTGGCCATCCGTCTTCTTTCATTTTCAGCTTGAACAGCGCTCCGTAATAAAGTAAGATTTACGAAGAAGAAGATTAATGATAAAAAACGCAAAATTTTTTGGCGAGCTTCTAAGAAAACAGATAATTTGATAATAACATGTGGCAAAAAAAAAAGGGAAAAAGCGCGGAGACTACGGAGAATTAATAATGTATAATGAGCGCAAAAATGGTAGCGGAGAATGATCGGCGTAAAAGTTTCGACGCGCGATTGGCGGGCCGGCAGAAATATCGCGCTCGCATCATCGTTATTTCCGAAAACCAGAGACTCGCCTCCCACGTAGAGGACCGGATAGACGACAAACAGTACGCCGTGTTTCGCGGCCGCTTCTCGCTTTTGTAAACAAATATCGCGCTATAAGAAAAAATTACGGGGGACAGGTCGGCGAGGATCGATCGTCGGCGGATCGATGTTCCGCGTGTACAAACATCGTGACGATTTATCATAAATTTGTAAATTCTTCTCTGAGATCATCAAACAGTCATTGTATCGATAAATCTCGGGTTTTTTAGATAATTTCTAAAAATTATTCTATTCACGCTATATATGATATCCTCTATAGTGAATTAGTTTAGTAATTCTATTTATCATATTAATCTTACAACATATATTTTATATATATGTATTTGAATCGTATTTGAATCGTAAAAGTTTCCAAGCTCTGCGTGCATCTTCAAATAACAATTATACGTAATATCACAATATCTATCGAAAAATTTGTCTAAGATGTATTGCTAATATGTGTGGGTTATTTACGATATCTTTGGATACCATCATTATCTTGCTACTATCAGTTGTATTATGTTTGATAGCACAAGAATCATTTCTAGCTAACAATAAGTTAAATTATAGTCAATGTGATGTAACCAAAAACAGCTTTTTAGTTATATCACGAGCCCCTAGTTTCCAATTCAAATATTCAGTTTTATTTTTGCAATTTGTCTTGCTCTAATAAGATAAAGACAATTAATATAAAATTTTATATAAATTGTATTCAGTTTTTTTTTAATTTTTATATTCTTAAATGAAAGGATTCAGTGCAAAAATAATCGACATTATATAAAATATTATTACGTAAAATGTTATTATATAAAATATTATCATATAAAATATTATTATATAAAATATTATCATATAAAATATTATATAAAATATTATTATAAAAAACTTTAGCAAAGATTATTTCTATCCATCATAAAAGTGTGCAAGTGCGTGTGGTTAAAAATGTGCAAAAAAAGAAACCAAAGAGTACTCACCGATTAACACAGCCGGCTCCCGATCGTCGTCCACAAGTGCAGCAAGTACCAGGAACAGCGGGTGCTGAGCGGGCAGGTGCTCCAGGTCGTCGGTGCAGTCGTCATACACTATGACTTCCTTGAACTGTCTCTTCCTGAGCAGTTCTTTGCCCTCGCGAGCGGTTGCGAGATCGGCGAGAGTGGCCTTCCCCAGCTGGAGTCTGCGCCGGTTGAAGCGATCCGAGCAGTTGACATTGATGGCACCGCGTACGTGATTGACGTTGTACAATATAAACGGTCTGCAGTCCAGAATCACGGGCGGAACGGCGGAGGGTCGCTCGACGAGATGCACGAGACGCTGGGCGAGGTCGTCGGCGGTAATGACGCGGGTCTTGCTTAGCACTAGCTGGCGATGAAGGCCGTTCTCGGCGCAGGGGCTGGTAGGCAGGCTGGCAGTCTCCAGTTTGCAGCGCTTCGTGGTCACCGACAGGTGCTGATGATGATGAAGGTGGTGAAGATGATGGTGTAGATGGTGGTGGTGGTGGTAGAGATGATGGAAGCCACGGCGGTGGACGTTATCGTTTTCGTCGTCGCCGTTCGCCTCCTCGCTGATCACGATCGACGGCGGTTCGGCGGAATTGCAGTTGCTGTTGTTATTGCTAACGGCGATCGGCGGGGCGTTCGGCGGTACCGGGAAGGCGCAGGGACTCGGTCCTGGCTCGCTCAGGCTGCGGTTCAGCACGAGCTTCAGATTGGCCCGAGGCCGGCCAGCCGATACTGGCTCGCAGCATAGCAGGGTAGACATCGAGGAGGACGATGGAATTCGGTCTTGAGGCCGATGTTCGTGCTGGTTGTGCCCGCGGTGATGATGGTGGTGATGGTGATGGTGATTATTGGAGTTCACGTCGATGGTGCTTACGTCGTGGCACGGTCCTGCGGTCGGCGCTGAAACGTCAACGATCGGGAAACGTCAGCGGTTTTTTTCACTCCTTTCTCCTTACGTCAGTTGATACGATAGAAGCTCCATATTTTCGCGCATTCCTTATTCGGGTATTTCGCATATTTCACGTATTTTTTGCGATTTGTCATTAGTTTCTACATTGCGATAATAAAAAATTCGCATGTTCGCAAAAACAAAAAATATTAAAATAAACGAATAGAGAAAAAATCCTTAATGTTAATTAATTTTAAACATTGTGTGATTTTTATGTTAAAATTAACAAAATACAAAAAATATTTATACTTCCTCATATCTTTACTTCCTATATATCTTTTTACATAAGCTTAATATTTTTATACATTTCCTTTTTTCACATTCGAAATTGATAATAAGTTTGTAAGATTTCTAATGCTTTTAATGCTTTTTTTGGGCTTCGAATTATTCAGATTCTAGAATAAAATCCATAAACTTATCTTTTTTTTACAACTTCCTGAAAGTCAGTAATTTTATCCCGGTTGCAAAAACTGCGGCGAATAGTAATTGAATCAAATTGATAAATAACTATAAAGTCCATTTGTCTTCAAATTTAGAGTTTTCCGATTTCTATACCAGAGAGTATTTAAATAATTCAAATTTCTCGTATGCCCTCGTGTTTCAAGTTATGAACTGTCATGCCTTCGAATTCATGGATCCTTACGTTATTCCGCTCTTTTAGTCGGTTACAATTCTAATTTGGCAGTTGGATGTCGACCAATGTCCCGAGCGTTACGAAAGATCTGTTGTAAGCGACGATGTACTAACTTAGAAATTACGTGATACACCCGGGATTCGCTAGCACGCGATTTGTTTGTTTTTATAAATAACGCCGCGTACTTTACCCGCGTGTCGCGCTCCGTTTTAAATTCCTAGATCCTTGGACTTTGTCATTTACAGATTTTTTTGCTTTGACATCTTTTTTATAACTTCTGAAATCATCTCAATATATCAAAAATATCGTCAACACACGAAGATCATGTGTATCCAGTATGCGCGAGTTGCTGTATTATTAAAATCTAAAAGGAGTCCTAGTTCTGAATTCTCAATTCTGATGGCTATTTGTAAATATCGAAGACGTTAGATTGTGTCGATTCAATGATTAGACCACATTTGTACTACCTTTATTTTCACGTTCGTGTGAATCTAATATTTTTTTAAATAAAATTGGATCTTTTTTCGTTGAGTTCTAAAATGTCAATAGAATTGGATCGAATCAAATGATACTCGGTTAGAATCAACGGCCGATTAAACGGGAAACCATCGGTTACTCTTTCCCTCTCTCTCTCCCTCTCTCTCTTTCTCTCGCCCGACCACTCTCCCACTTCTCTTCCGCCATCGAAGTTTCTCTTCGGCCCCGAGAAGTCTTCGAGTTCGTTCTTTCGTATGAGTAAACGCTGTGGAATTCGACGCTTCGAGCGGCAAGTGGGACCCCGCGACTAGCGATGGGCCCGATACCCTCGCAATACCTATCGATATCTCTCGCAAACACGATCCTACAAAGAGGCATTATCAAACAGTTCGAGAAAGTCGCCGGAGATATGTCTACTCGCGAAAAAATCACTGACGGAATATATTGATTTGCATAAAATCAACATATGGAAACTTTCTAGGAAAAAAAAACTCTGAATATCGCAATGAACGTTATTTTTCACAGACGCAATGAACGTGAAATTATTCGATAGTAATGAAAATGAGAATATGAGAAATATTTCACGTCATATGCTTTTAGCGGAAAATTTCAATTGAGATTTATAACCGTAGTGTTATTTAAATAAATTAAAAATTTACGAATTCAAAGCCCCAAATCCGTAAATAAATAATTCTTTTTAATTTATTTCAATAAAAGGAAAATAAATTGAAAATTCCATATGAACATTTCTGTTATTTATTTCTATCATAAAAATTTTCGTTATTATTATACAGACCGTCTGAGAGACGGTCATATTCGTGCATAATTTGTTAACAAAAAATAATGCGGAAAAATGTTTTTAAATTCACTATTAATTTTTCTTTAATGAAAAAATTAAAAGATTTAAGCTTTAAGGAAGCAAGTTTCAACTTTAGACGTACTTTGTAAAATTATCATTTTTATAGCTTCAATATCCGCGATATACAAATCGCGAAGTATAACGAGCGTGCTTACGTTAAAGGAAAGTCCGCCTCACATTTCTTAAAGAGTTCGTCACGGAGAACTAACGCGATGTTCATGGAACGGGTTGCGACGTAAATAAAGTAATTTATTGTTGTGTTGACTAAAATAAAGATAAAGGGATATTTGTTTGGAACTATCGCTACTCGCAACCTGACCGGGGCATTCAGTCTGCGGACAGGTGTAACACCGACACCTGCCATCGAAATACGTCGTCCTGCGTTCTCCCATTCACTCGAAAAAAAATGTTAATTTCTCCTAATTAATCCAAAGTCTTTTATATATTCATCTCATTATTTCGTCCTCAGGCATAGTCGTAATATTTGTCGATTATTTTAAATTGCAGATGTAATAAGTATTATAAATATATATATATATATATATATATATATATATATATAGGATTTAAAAATGCACAAATTAAATAAAATTTAAGAGGGACGTGTGTGGATCTAAAGATTTGAAAATTTAAGGATCAAAACATAGTTCAATATTTGAAAACACTCTAAGATCTCTCGCCAGCTGGATATAAAAATTCGAACACTTAAAAGATTCGGTAATTTAAAAATACGCCTTGAGAATCCTAGTTTTAATTTATGCAAATTCTAGAAAAAAAAAACAGTAGACCCCAAGTCACGTCAAGATGAGATAATTCATTTACATCACTATTATATTACAATTATTCTGATCTACATTCGGTAGCAATTAACTGACACAACTAATTAAAACATCCGATACATTTGCAAACAATTAAAAATACAATCGTTCTAATTACATATTTTTATGCTTAGCATAAATTTTACATTACCCAGCATTTTCGAGAATTTGAAATAACTTATTCTAATCGCAGATACGACTTAAAAAGGATTTAAAAATAGCAAAATATTACATTAGCACAGATAACAATTGCAGTTAAATTTACAAGACAAAATCTATTAAGCAAGCTCCATAGAATAGAATTATCTCCTGCTGAAAGTGTCTAAAAATTTGGAAAAATCTATATGTGCAAAATTTATATATGTTATTGGCATACATCACGGAGTCGGATGTCAGAAATTTAAGAAATTCTATACGAAAAGCTGAAGATTCGAAGATCTAAAAGTTTAAGGATAAAAAAAAACCAGTTCGCCTTTCTCATTTTTAGAGTTTCGTGTCAAGTCTACGTTACACGAGCAATAGAGAAGACTCGTGGAAAGTATCCGAAGATACAGCTCAATTAAACGCCTACGTAGAAATAGAATAATCTAAAGATCGTGGCGTCCCAAGTGTCTTAATTCTCGACGTACGCATCCACTACAAAGGCGCAAGGCACTGCAAATCGAAAGAGACACAGGCGCATTTCAATTGCAGAATCTCGATACACAAATCCAGAGAATTAAAATGCAAGAGGTACATGCATCCCGAGCGGAAAACGTGCACGTCACCTAGGCGCTAGATATATATAGTGACTGGAAAACTCCAAGAGAGCCAAGAATCCGCGATTACACACCTTGCATCTACATATCCAGAAACCGAGAGGTCCGGTCCGATGGCTAGAAAATCCAACGACAGCGTTCCGAGCGTTCTAGTTTTTTAATCCTACACCGTTCGCGAGCGCGGAAGAGCCCGTGGATTACATCCGAAAGAGCAGCCCCCCAGTTACGCACTCCCGACACGATACCATCCGCGAGTGTGCGATCTTATCGAGGATCAAGGAACCGAGGAAGAGAGAGAGAGAGAGAGAGAGAGAGAGAGAGAGAGAGGACAGAGGAGAGAGGGAGGATAAGGAAGGGTGGAACGTGGTGAGACGGACCGTCGGGCTGACGTCACGGGTCTCAAGAGAGCGCGATCGCGCGGACCCGGGGGGCCCCGCGATGCTCACGTCGTCGGGCCAACATGCTCCCTGCGGGAACGGGCGAATGCGCGAGGTGTACGACACACGGGAGATCTACAGCCGCGGGAGCGCGATCGATGCGGGATCCCCTGCCAACGGCCGGCGAGCGAAGACTGAGGAGGAGAAGCCTGGCCGGCCGCGCGGTTGCGGTACGCGGCGACGACGGCAACCGACGACGACGACGACGAGTCCGCCGGCGACGAGGAGAGCGGAGAACAGTCGAGGAGAGTGGAGAACGCGCTGCCGGCGCGGAGGAGGACGGGGGTCACCGCCGGAGCTCTGCGCAGGAGCGTAATTTAACCCCTCATACCAAACTTAACGCATATCGCAATGCGCGTTTCAACCTTTAAAGCGCTAATTTTTTTTCCGGAGAAAAAAAAATATTGCAAATACGGCATTTCGTAGGAAAATAATGCGAGGTGTAATTCTATCTGTATCTGGAGGTCAGTGATTCTTTCATTGGCCGCAGAGACACCGTGTCCATTTCGAAATTACCGCGAGCGAAAAGAAAGGAAGGAACCTCTCGAAAAATTTACTTAAAAAGATCATTTTAAAATTCAGAAGACCTACAATTCACTTATTTGCTGAAAATGACATACTTCGAAACATTTTATCGGGTGTGATTATTTTAAAATAAATGATGCCGAACTAGCATTCAGCATTTTATATACTTGCTCTATTCTCCTGTTTTCCCATTTAGAAGTATGAGCATAGAAATGGCACAGTCTGGTTTTATATATCTACCTTCAGGGAAGAAACTTTTGTAAAAACTTTTAATAGAAAATATCTGTTCTCTTGATAGAATTTTGCCATTATAAGTTGATATCCCTTCGCGTATCCACAAAAATAGATATTATATTTATAAAGTTTTCACATAAATCCGTAGTAACTCATGAAATTTTGACCGAGTGTCTTAAAAATTTCAAAGTTATTTAGGGGACGTATTA